TAAAGAGGCAACACTGCAGAAGAGTATTGCTGAATGTTAAAGTAAGAGTACCAAAGTTTGAACGAGTCTGAATTCTCTTCGCTTTTTACTTAATTGAGCTTGCAACTCTAAATCTGCTGTTTTATAGATTAAATGAGATAAAGTAAGCTAAAAGTAAACAGTTAAAATCTTACCTGCCGAATCGCAAAATCCATTCCACCGGCGATGTTGGTTCCTCCCGATTCGTAATTTAGATTTTTTATAGCATTTTCAACTTCTGACACAGAATTGTACTGTGTAAGTGAGAACCCAAGTCTTGCGTTGTTTCCAAATAACACAAACCCTACACGACTGCTCTGAAAAAAGTTAAAACTTGAAGCTGCCAAAAACAGAGTCTCGACTATTATTTTTTTTTTTGTTTACAAATCTAATAACAAAAAATTGTTGATTTAAAAAACTTTTTATAATTAGCTTTTTTATGTGCAGTCAACTCACGTTAACTCCGGCTCCAATGTTAAGAGAGCTGGCTAGGTCAGCAGCGGCATTCAAACCAGTCTGAATTTGCGCATTTGGTAGAAAGTTTTAGCAGTTGTAAAAATAAATTATGGTAATTTAAAGACAAACAAATTTTTCAGTTTTCGGCGTTGAATTTTTAACTTTAAAACGTTACCCGAAAGTCTTGTGGACCGACACTTTTTGATTCATCCATAACAAAAACTAGATCTACATTTTCTAGATGACACTCTTCCATTCCACTGCCTATAATTGAAAAACTATTGGTAAGAGAAAAATCTAATATAATAATTAAAAAGAGCAAAAATAACTATAGTGAAGCAGCTAAGTTTTTCTTCATATTTAAAACTTCTAATTTTTGACCTTTACACCTACATTTTCTGCGAAGTAGCATACAGTGTTTTTGGTTTTTATTGCAGAATTTTGTCAACTGTGTAAAATTTATATAGTAAAATTTTTGAAACGATTTTTTTTTTTTAGAACTATTGTTGTGCTAAATGTAGCACTTACCAGAGGCGAAAAGTAAGGCAAAGACGAGAAATAGGAAATAAGGGCCCATGTTTGCTAGAACTTAACCTTTTGTCACCAACCACCGATAAAAGGTTTGAAAAATAAAGCTCTGTTCAGAGCTTATATAGCCAATTAAATGTAGAGATAAGCAAATATATTGCTGATAATAAATTTCAAAAAAATTCAACAGTAAAGTTGAGTTGATCAAATCAAACAGTAAGAAAACTTTCTTATCAAATACAGTTTTTACTACTTCTGTGCATATTGATCAGCTTTCAACTAAATAAAAAAGTTGAACAGTGTAGTGATAGTATTACTTAATTTTGTGCATCTTACTGATGTTTGAATACTTATTTAATTGTTGCTACTGTCAGTTTACAGAATGAATCAGTTTTAAAAAAAAACGTATTGGTTTTTGGTAATAAAAAATCACACGTTCAAAATTCAGACAACCAATATTTATTAGGAAAACTTATTCGCTACAAAATTTTCAAAAAGAAAGGTTTTATGAATTACGGTGAAAATTTTTCAGATTGACTAACTTGAAATGAGAAGGGTAAATAATGTGTGAGATGTCTTTACATTTTACTTTTTTTTTTGTTAAGAAATATAGCTGTTTACCACTTAGATTAAATGTATAAACTAAATCAAAGAATTTTTAAAATTTATTCAAATTTTTTCCAGCTATAGATGTCTCAGAATCAGTGACATTTTTAGAACCGGTTGAATAAAAAAGATAAAATTAAAATAAGTAAAACTTTAACTCAATAATATTTATTTTTTAGTAACTCAAATCAACTGTGTGCTAATTTTCTTGTGAAAACTTCCTGCTTCTTTCAATTTTTTATTTTATATCCGCAATTACAAAGTCTTCGAAGGCCTTATCTGAGCAGGTACTTTTGAAAAGCGTACTGCACTTACTAGTCATCGAATTCACTGGCTAAACAAAATTATGATAGAAAAAAAAGCAAGAAATTAGACTTTGTTTCAGCCCCTGGTTTTTTAATTTTTATTTTAATATTTTGAAATTATCACTGATAATTTTATAGGTCTTAATTCTGCAATAATTCTTCTTTGTTTTTACTTTGATCTATCTAAGACTGTTTTTTCGGAGCAAACAAAACAGCAAATAAGTGACGTTTAACTTATTTGATTGATTAATCATTTCTGATCAGTTATTATTGAGAACTTTTTTTATCAAAGTGTCTTAATTAATTTTCTAACATTTTCTATCACCTACAAACAGTAAATCAATAAATTTAAGTACTGTTTTTTGTTCAATGTAGTCGTGTAAAGAGCAGGTTTAAGACTACACAAAAATATATAGCTTTTTGTATCACTTATTAAATTTGAAAGTTCTAGAAGGTTTTTTGTTCAGAGTAGTTTTACTGTCAAAGCCAAGAGGATTAAACAAGAGAAAAAGAAAACTAGTGCTGGGATTAGCACACCACACCATCTGCCTTCTGTTGTTATTTTTGAGCCTAAAAAGCCACAGCAGTCTTCTCAATTCAAATTAGAGCCATGTTTTAATAATAAAGCTTTGAATGTCTTAGGAGGTTGTTAAAAACAGTTAATTTTGAAAAAAATTTTAATTTAGAAGATTCAGTTATACGATGTGACTAAATTTTGAATTCTGGGTGCTTTATGTCTGTCGATAATTGTTCACCATATAAGAAGCATATTGAGCAGCAGCAAAATTAGCAGCAGTTTTTCACATTTGATATTTACTACTTGAAAAAAATGCACAGCAATTTATCTGACGTAAATAACTGCTTTGTAAAGTAATTTCAGATATTTTTTTCAATGTATCTGTCAGTTTCTTAGATTAAGACACAATTGAAAAAACCAACTTTTCCAAATTTCAAAACTCAGTGTTATCACTTTTAAATGTCATCTGTAACTTTTAAACATACGAAAGACTTAAAAGTTACCTGTAAATGGCTTTTCTGTAGTGTGGAAATCAAAAATACTCAGCACTTCTAAAAGCACATTTTAAAGCATTTTTTCTTTCTTGTTTTTCGAACATCTGAAAAGCAATTTTCTGACTGCAGTACCCTATTGTTTCAAAATAAAAACCTTTATCGAACTGCATTTTTGCTTCAAATTAGATTTTAATAGAAAGGAATGTGTACGAAAAAGGTTTTTTGAATAAAAGCTATTTTGTCCTACACTGATGTAAAAAGTTAAAGCAATTATTTTGACCTGTAAAAATACTCACGGTAAGCTTTAAACATTCTTTTCTTTTTTTTTCGCTCAAATTTTTAATTTTTATTTTTTACGGTATTGTTGCTGAATAATTTAAGCACTGCTGTAAATTATTTATTGGTGAGCCTAATCAGAATTAGGAAATTATTGCAGACACATGTTCACAACTTTCAAAATGTTGTTCAAACGGTGGGGAACCGTAGTCTTGTTCTGATTGTCAACTTTTAAAATGCAGAATCTCAGCGAGAAACACATTTAAATAGACATTTGAAAAAATTTTTTCACATCTTAATATTTCTCAACAAAGAAGGATTAAGTACAAATTAAGTTATATTTAATGCACACCTTTTTCTACTGTATTTCTAAGCTATATTTTTATTTACTGCAGAATTGCTGACACGTTATTAGTAGGCATAAGATTTAAAATGGACATCAAAAAATTATCGGTTTTTTGGAACACTGCTAATACAATAAAAAGTTATTGTATTTGTGATAAAAGATGTATACCTTTTGTATGCTGAATAAACCGTCTAAATAAAAGTTGATTTGAAATAGCCTTTTCTGTCAAATCAACTTTTCTAGACGACAAGACTTTTTTCTTGTGCGACACATTTATAGTTTACATAGATTACTTAGCCAAATTTGCTTTTCTGGTTTTATCCCCTTTTCACATTTTTATTTATCAATTCTGCAATTTAGAAACTGCATACAGTAAGCCAGTGCTAACTAAGCGACTTAACGACAACTTTTTACAGATATATTGTTAACAGTGTTACTGTACTTTTCTGCTTTTGGACTGTAACAAATAAACATCTCTCTAAAACTTTTTCACTTCAGAAAAAAGAAAAGAAAGGTATGACGTTATTACTTTTACAACTATATAATTCTGTAAAAGTGTCTTCAGATAAAGTTTAAGAGGGCATATTTTATTTAGTCTGTAATAAAATACAATAAAGAATTAAAAAACGAAAGTTAAAAAGCAAATAAGATTAAGAACAAAAATTTCTGGACATTAATTTTATGATTAACAAAATAGACAACGTCTTAGTTAACTTTGCAATTGTTTTTGCTTTTTTCTTTTGCTATTGTTAAATATTCTTTAATATTTTCTTATTGACTTTGTTAATCAAGCAAAAAAAAAACTTTTTTTTGTTGCAACAAAAATTGGTAACTAAAAGTAATTTGATTTTTTAATTGTAATTTTTGATACTTTACAGGTTAAACTGATGTATCAGAAGATGCTGCACGTTCTTCTTTTTAATATAATCAAACGTTTCTTTCCTTTTTTTTTTTTTGCTTTTTTGATTATCATTTATGCACTAATAATTTCATTAGTAAAGTTAAATGGTAAATAGATGGAAATGAAAGGCAGCTACATTTATTGTTATTTGATAATATTTGTTCAACACAAACAATAAAATATATAAAAAAGAACACTATAAACACTTCTCTTTTAGGGACTTTTTTTTTCATTATTTTTACAGTTTTAAGCTGATTTAACGTATTCCTTATCTGTTTCGTACATCTATCATTCCAGAAAAAGATGACAAAAAAAAAA